GCGTGTCGTATTTTGGCGGCTAAAGAGCCTCTGGGTATTTAGTAGCGCTTCGTCAACTTCATATACTTAACCCGAGGGTGGCTGGTCCCACAGAGCTAAAAACTATGTAGGAGCAGGCGGCGTGCTGTATATGTTATATTCATGATGCGGTCCAACAGAGAGCAGTTGCTGAAATAGCGGTGGTAGCAGTGGTCATGGTAACGGCAGCGATCAATACGACGTAAGCGATAGCTGCTAAAGAACTCGTTCTACTGTCGAATTGGCTGGAGTTTCCAAGGCGGCTAAGCCCGCGCTTGGAAAAAGCTACCCCGCACACTTACTTATTCGGAAAAGTCGACGCCTCTACTACGGGTGTAGAGATAGCTGGGCGTATACATTCATTAGTCCAATTGTTCAGATATTGTTGTTTCAACGAAATCAAAAGAAGGAGGTTTCCTTAAAAAACAAATCTTAAATGACAGGCAGCCTATATCAGGCTGAATCGATATATAATTTGACTGAAACAGTACAATTACATTTGAGATGCCTGAACGATGTATGGAAAAGAGAGTCCTCCTGCCATAAACTACTGTTACTCCCACTAATTAGTTTTGGGAAAGCCGAAATAACGTGAAACGAAAATCCTTGAAGGGTTATTACTCAGTATATTTATTAAACAGATCTTCAATTACGTGCGATAATTAGAAAGTGATTCAACTCACGGGCACAACGCATTTCCCACTCATCATTGTCCGAATTTTTCGCTCGATTTTTTCCGCGTCGTATGATTTTTAAGGGCAACGAAGTCGTTAGTTGTTTCTATTTAAATTATCTTCCATTAAAAGCGATATACCTACTAGATGTATTACTTTTACTGTGATCATATTATATGCGGGGTCACGGTAAAGGTCACAGGTGGAATACTCGAGCTGCTAATATGTCCTTTTCAAAGAATCACTTGCCATTAGATAATTCGAAATTGTGATTGCTCGATACACATTATCCGTTAGCACAGGCGTACATGTCGCTTCGCTGATTGATGGGAGCGGCAAATTAATGTATTTATTTGCAATCTTCAATCAAGTGGCAACTTTCTTGTATTCCTCATAAGCGGCTATAGAAAATAAATACACAAAACACGATGGCCGCCATGGACGGCTCCAGCTATTGAATCAATGGTCTGAAGGTTTTAGTGTGGTAAAGGATTTGGATACGGTACGGGAACAACAACTGATGATTATAGGTATCCCTAATCTTATTTCGAAACTTCTGTTTGCTTGCTATGGTTACTACTTGTAACTGAAATCCTAATACTAAGAAAATGTTTTCTCGCATTCAATAATTCAACAGCGGATCATGATGGCGACTGACGCGTCATTTTCCAGCAAATGCTACAATATACATCTATGGATGCACGCGTCTCTACTGTTGACACATCAGATAGTGATTACCATAGCTAGGTAAAGCTCTGCATGCCCGTTCATATACGGTGGATCAGCATATTTAAGTTTTCTTCTATAGATAGCAAGCCAACCTCTGTAGATAACTTCCTGTGACTATGCATCCTTCTTCTTATTACTCCCGCTCCCACATATCGCGCCCCGTTTCCTCTTTCTTTTTCCCTTCCAGCAGCGGCAATAGAAATGCGAGAGAATTCAGTAATGAGATAGGCACATCCCACTAGGAAACGTTTGCGACAATAGAGTTACAGGAGCTCCTTGTTCTATACATTGCCATATGTATATATAATGTCCAAGTACACAGCAGCGTGCGAGGGGCCATCTCCTCAGTGAGGTCGGCTTTTTGAAGATGTCTAACTCTGTGTGGGGCCATCCCTGTTCATGTTGAGCACCTCTCGTTCAGCTCAGTTACTCTCTCTTTTTCTATTGGCTACTCTATCACGCGTCTATTGAGGGCGTCTGCTTGCCTCTTGCTAGATTTCCGTAAGAAGGACGACGCAGTCTCCTCCAGCGTTTCGCAGCGAACCCGACTGTTTTTTGAGTTCCCTTTAGATAGTGCAATTACCTCCCCCACCCCTGTAACACACCTGGCGCAAAGCTTTCTCCGTCTCGTCCCTCTATTCTAAACGGAAAAATGTCTAGATAGCGCTAAAAATAGAACCCCCTTTGTATTTCCATAGTTGTCTTCACCATGACTAAGACATTGATGTCAAATTTGGGAATTTGCGCTACTGGGAGTAACAATTCCTTCACGGAATTGGATTTTTGATTAGTAGAAAAAGACAGACTCTTTGTCTAGGTTGAACTCAAGCAAGGGTAAAAGCTTTCTGTAATTTATCCTTCTCGAAAAACTGCCCTCATTGATTTTTGATGAGGGCAATTTTTCGAGAGGGATACGTTAATCGAATAAATGCCAAGGAGTGTTTTTTTTTTTTTTTTTTCTCAATTAGTACTCGAATGCACCGTCGAACAATGTCTTGTGTATTAGTTTGTTCTGCTGTATCGAATATGCTTTGTTTAACAGTGCTCGAATGACTTTAAAGTTGCTCTTAGTACCATATTAAGTATATCTTCAAGCACTAGTCCACGTCTTTTATCAATAAATGTTTCTCCGTACTAGGATAATTTGAAGAAGTTTAGGTAACATTTATGATTTTGAAGTTGATGCGGCCGTGAGACAAACAGACAGGCCATCTTGTACGTTTTTTGCGTTATTATACATCGCAACAAGAAATATACAATAGAGCTGTGAAGTTTGAGAATAGAATACCTTTGGTAATAATAATATCGAAAAAAAGATAACTCACTCTAGAGTTATTAGCTGTGGTACATTAGGGGGATGAGATACTCAATGTTTTGAACAAACAATCGGAAAAAGCATCTCAATAATGTACAAACCGTTTACGTTACTACGAGAGTCAGGCATAATAAGATGAATCTTACGTATGGCAAAGGCTACCATTTGAAGTTGGTAAAAATTCACCTGTTTTGTGGTACGGCTCTTCTATGGCGATCCATGAATTTCTTGTTACTTAACTACCCAGTATGCGTGCAAAGGGAGGTACACGTCAAACGCAACTAGACATAGCCAAATGGAATACTTTATCTAGCGTATTCTTGAAGATAAGCTGATTTAGAAGAAAATAGCCACGCTAGATCTTATGGCCTAAAGGTAGAGGCGAAATATACATTGATCTTACTGCAAAACACGAATAAGTCGTTTCTAATATATAAATGAGTAACTAGCGTATACAAACATTTTTTTTTATCGTTCGTTTTTTAAGTTTAATTCTCGGAAAAATATGTAGCTCGCTCGCATTATTAGAAGTTAGTTGGTAAATATTTAATCTCCTTTGATTAGGCGCACCTTCGGCCTCTCGCAATCTAATTTAAAGGCTTCACTACAAATGAACGGCAGTGTTGTCAAGATAGCACTGTCCATGAACAATTTTGGTTCAATTCGAAAGGCCGCTTACAGGCGCATGACCGAATGGTACTGCAAAAACTTAAGCGCTTGCACGCAGACAAGCTATTTTTTTTAATAAACGGCCCAATTTAACAGTATCACTGTCGCTTTATTTGCTTTACGCTATGGCAAGACGCCGCATAGAAGAAAACGAATTTGTAGAGACGCGTGAGCGTAATGGGTTTCTTTCGAGTTCATTACTTGCGGTCGATTTCTTGAAAGTTTCTGCCAAAAAGTCGTTTTTTTTCTTTTAGAAGTGGAGTAGCTAAATGTTCTATCTCAACAAGCCATGTACGTAACCGTTATTCTTGAAACCCATCTACGGAAAAAGTCTATGGTGTGCGCTTCTGATTTTTTACAGTGAGAAATCTTCTAGCATTGCTAACAACCCTTATGCAATTCTAAAAGTTATTTTAGAAGGCGCAAAAACGAGTCTATAACTTGTGGAAATCGGCCATTCACGATGTATTCGGTTTGGCCACAACGCCGTCATGTGGGCATATAAATACTATATCGGCTGAAGATTGCCTAAATATCCGAAGGAATGAGGCACAGTCAATCGCGGTTACTATCGGCTATTTTTCTTCACGAGTCGCATATCTGCAAATTTAGCTCAGCGTTTGCACAATTCTCTGAAGTCGCTCTCAGGATACACAGCCCCATTACGTTAATTTAGCAATATTTTGCTTCCGTTTTCTTAACTCCCCGAGGTTAACACAAAAGTGCACCTGTGTCCTTAATCGAGTGTACTAGTTAATCCCATGCGTTGGTGTAAATAACGAACGTACCACACAACTTTCCGGCCAGGAACTCTCCGACGTTGACTGCTCGAATGTAGTTGACAAAGTCTAAACAGCCTACCTTTGCCGGCTCTCCTATACCGCGCGGCAGGTTGTCCATAAAAAAAATGAGGTAAATTTTATTTTATAGGTCAAATATGCACTGTAAACGCCTTAAGTTGCTTTGCGAGCCTTCCGTACAAATCCCATGCCAGCGAAATTAATTGATCCATAAGTAACCTATGTTTACTAGACTTACGTTTGAATCCGGGCAAGACACACGGTACGTTTCGTGGTGGGAGGCTGTTGTCCGATCAAACGGTGATATTGGACGTAGAACTCGAAACAAAGATATCCATAAGTTAAGGGGAGGGCTTCGTTCGACACAGCAGTTCTATGATAAACTAAATATAGCGTGACTAGATGGACAATGTTCTCGTCACGCAGGGCTGCTCATTTTAGCATGTTTATTACAATAACTCATGTATATAAGCACAATATGTAGTTTTTTTTTAATGCTACGTATAGTTATAAGGCACGTGGAGTACATAATGGAAGCGCAGCTAATAACCAATTGGTCACACTGTTGTTCTGTGGGCCAAGGGGAGTCTGCCTATTCTTAACCAGTTCCAGCAAGCCCTCTGTTTTTTCTCAATTTACATTATTATTATAGATAATTAACAAAACTGCATATCAGCTCTGAACTAGCAGATCTAAGCTTATATTCCTTAAATACGACTCGCTATAATAATCGATGATCACACCAATCTGTTAAATATCGTTGTTTCATAACATTTTATTGCATAAATAATTTATCTAATGTATGTACATGTAAATTTACATTTTTATACTGAAACGTTTTCTTCGAGACATTTCTAGGCAGTCATTATACAGGACTAGAAAAGTCGCAATGGCTGGGTTTGACACATGTACACTGTGGTCGGAATTTCGTGATAGAGTGTTATATTGTGTTCTAAATTCAATATATATAGATACACAGTAACAGTTTTAGACAGAGGGCGTACCCAGTTACCTTCTTCAATCTGATGAAAAGCTAAGAAAAATGTTTCTAGTTAAAGAAACGCTCTAGACATAATCAGCGTCCGCTGATGAGCTTAAACATGGTTACGAATTCTATAACATTGTCTAGGCAAGGGCAAGAATAAATTAGCTTAATTGTTAAAGCGAGGTTCGCTAGTTGGCACGTGGATAGAATGTACAGTTATAAGACGCTAAGTAGAATGTGTCTACTCTGACTTTTCGAAGTTGGGTTCATCCGATACGATCATAGGGTCGTGTTCTGTTATAGTACTAGAAGTGGCCAGAAGTGACGGGAGTGTCACTACGATCTTGGGAGAATCCGTACTGGTTTTACCTTGGCTCGCAGTACGAGCATCAGCTTTAAGATATGGTTGTTCAGATATTGCTTTAGGCTTGGCAGTAGTCAAAGTTGTTGCTGACGATGTTGCCTTGTTGGCCTTAGCTTTCGGTAATTCGCTGACAGGTACTAAGAAGGAACTCGTTTTATTTTGTTTCACAGAGCCTGCCTTATCAATAGTTTCTTCCGACGTGTTAACTGATTGTGGCTTTGAGGTTGGCAAAGGTAACGTTGACAGGAAAATTGTAGGTTCTGCTGTCGTGGATAAAGTGGTATCGGCCATGGCACTGCTGGAGGCAGATGTTGCAGTGGACACAGGCAATGTTGTTATTTCCTGGGCGGGCTTAGATGCAACGGGTGCTGAAGGAGAGGGCTTTTCGGGGGTTAAGGAAAATCTGCTGATGTTATGCCCTCCTTTGGCGGAAATAACCGAAGAAGTTGAAACAGGCGCTGAAGTCTGAGTGTCGGATTCGAGAGCGACCGGTTGCTCTGTGGAAGCTATTGCAGACGATGGTTTGGGTGTACTTTTTGTTAGCGTTGTGGTCTTTGTAGATTTTGACAAAATAGTACCTTTCTTATTTTTACCTGGCGTGGTTTTCTTTGCCGTTGGAACCAAGTCCGTTTGTTTTGACCGGTTCATCTTATCAGCATTACTTTGTGGCTCGTTAGGTAGTGCCTGATCGGACTCTGTCTGAAAACTATTCTTAGACGTAGGAGCTGACGTAGACGCCATTAATGCATTACTTGCGCCCTCGGATGCTCTTTTGGTTGATTCGGTAGTTGGTTCAATGATACGTGTAACTTCCTTGATAGGAGTTGCGGTTGTACGCTTTTGTTTCGTAACATCCTTTTTCACAGTTTTTGGAGCAACTATCGGACGTAGCATCGCCCTTTTCACCCCCACTTCAGGTACATTTTTATTTGCGACCGAATCTATTTTTCCGAAGGCCTCACCAGACTCAGCGGGAAGTCGCTCAACAGACGTCACGAACTTTTTCTCAGCTCGATCCCTTCTACGGATGCCTTCAGGAGAATCAAGGCCATCGTTTACACTTAGTTGACGCACTCTGAAGTTTTCATCACGGAAGTTAATCACATCTAGATTAAATCGGTTGCCATATCCTGGTAAGGACCCAAATGACGGGGTGGTCTTGCGTCTGGTAGTATTTTTGTATGATTGTCTTTGTGCTGCAGGATTCTTCCGAACGTTCAGAAGGCCACCATTATAGGGCACGTACTGACGATTTGGATTAATCTTTTCGCTGAGAGTAGTCACGTTCCGATCTTCTCGAATGAACGAGGCCGGATTCCTATGCCTCTTCTGAAAGCCTTGAGGTTTTCCGGCTGGGCGATTATTTCTTGTTGGTGCTTCCAAATATTTACTGTAGAAAGGTACCAACTTTTCAGCTTTGTCAATATCCTGAGCTCCATGGAGAAATATGTCCCTTTGTCCGATTCTATTATTAAGGTAGAAAAAGTCTGCAGCACTGCTACAGGGAATAGCATATTCGGGGATCATGCACGTTTGACTCAGTTGATCGAACACCGTCATGTTTCCGCACATAAACGAGTACTTTTCCACTTTAATTCGATCAATCTGTGGAACTGGATTACACACGTGGAAGATCTTACAGTCGTTATCAACGTCCGCATAGTAACCGTACTGCAAAGGGCAGCGAAAAGAAGTTTTTACTAACCCGATGATTAGCTCCGCTCCCGCTGGTAAGTGTAAAGTTTCCTGGGCAGAAGCGTACGCCAGCGCTAGAACTAGAAGAAACGCACACATTTATCAAGTTAGTAAGTAAATCTGAGTAGTAATCTAGAGCAAAGGAACAAGCACGCTAACCAAGTCTAGTTTACTGCTATGTAAATAAGCGTCTAGATTCCTAAAATGGAAATATTTTGAACTATTTTGAAAGAACTCGCCAACGTGCTGGCCAGGCAAAGCTATCCTTGCAGTTGCATACAGGACGAAGGCCTCGTTTTACCTAAGATTACAGCATGCCACATGTTGCCGGATGTTCGTAGTCGATCACGCCTTAACTAGCATGTTGAGCATTATTTTTATATAGCAGAAACGTCCGGCGAGGGCTAAACAACAGGCGAAGGTGGCCACTATACAATAAACTACCGTGTACCACAGGAAACCGGAAAAGTGAATGAATATGTGTGTACGCGCGTATGATTGTACATACATGTACACTACTATGGATTCGAAGTAAAGTTGCCACAATTGATGAGAGAAACGAAGGATGTAACCGGAAGGTTAGCTGGCACATAATCGGAAGAACGCAGGGGTCATGATTGGGTCGACCTTCGACACGTCATTCTATTCTGCACGGCCAGGGCGGATGCTACCATGTAATAAAGCGAACTACGAGACTGCCCAGAAATATTCCATAACGGCGATTAACAACTCCCATAACGGCAACTTCTCACCGAAAAAAAAAATCATCGTTTGAGTAAAAGGAGATCTTTCGGTTCAGACATACGTATTATTGAATGAGTGAACGTTGTGTGGAAAGAGTAAAGTACTTCTAAATGATATTAGTGAAATATTCGATTTCTTATAAAGCCCTTCATATACGTTTGCTTGATTTAAATTAGTCGATTACGACTTGGGAGTTAAATAAGCAGTGCCCAATTTGCCATTCTGTCTGCCTAACGAAAGACAGCCTTTCATTCGAGTTGCAGCAAAAATATATATCTACTATGTGGCCGCCATCACTCTCCAAAACTTCTCGCCAAATCTCAACAAATATATTTATTTTTTGTCGTCAAAGGGTCTTAGTTTTTGGGGCCCTACTCACTGCCAAATGTGCGGTGCTTATTATTGAATTTTTTTGTGTCTGAAACGAGTGGCAATGCTAAGCTTTGGTAAAGTTCTTGCCATGCATTGTTTGGCATTATCACGGGGAAGTATGACTTCGTCTTATCTATCGAGTTTTTTTTCTTTTGGATAGCCTCGTTGTGTGAATACAGCTGGGCTATATATAGATTCTTGTTGACTGTGTTATCATTTCAGGCATTTCATAATAAATAGGCTCCTTCTAGGCTAACGAGATGCGGATTATACTCTTTGATGAATAGAAGTCTGGCTTAACTTTTGGGCTTAGGCATGTCTCGCGAAGCTACCCATCCCTTTCTCTGCTCTATGTAAATATTGTGATGCCACTTTTTTTATTGAAGATAGTTCTGTGTAAAGTCAGTCATTGTGTCTGGGTTTGGGCCGGTAACTGGGGAGATGTTAAAGGTCGATGAAAAGGCGTTTCTTGCCTAGTCTACAGACCTAAGTTCTGACAAAATGCCATACATACCGAGTGCCTAATATTAGGCTAGTGTTTTTTTTGTTTATTTATTCCTATTATTTTACTCTATCAGCCTAGATCTTCTTCCACAGATTGCCTAGAGGGTTGCTGTTGCCGCCATCGGGTGCTAACTCCTGCCTGAGCACTTTCTGCCTCGGTAAATTTTGCCACCATTGGCAGTCTATTAGGAGCGCTGTAGCTAATCTGTCTGTATTTCTCCGGCATTTGGTGAACGTTCAAAGAGAACATGGACGAAAATGTATCTATGTGCCTGACTGTGCATTGCCAGCCTAGTTTTGCGACCAATCGGATCAATTGTTGTGAGATTCGTGATAGTCAGGTCTTGTTGTCGTTAAAGCTATAACGTTCTGGTAGGAAAGTAAAGCAGATACGTGGAGCTAGAAACATATAGATGGTAACATGTTGTTGCTGATATAGATATTTTACGAACTGCGCATTCAAAATCAAATTGCTAACCTCTTTTCTCAACTTCTCTAGAGGCACATTGTCGTATTCCAGTAGTCATGATATCCTATGAGCCTGAAACCAAGCTTATGGTCCTCCTTTACTTTAGACAGCTGAAACCGTAGCGGTTGAAACACTGTTTCTCTAACTTCATTTTATAGAACGTCTTGGATAGCTCCCCGTCATTTACGGTTGTTACATTACGGTGTTTGTCGTAAGCATCAGCCTTTATTGTTAACAAGGCTTGCATTTATAGCAAGTCCGCAACAACTCGAGTTGCTTTCACCTCCCTTTTCATGAATTTTGTCCTCTGTTGCTCTATTCCTTTAACCTGCCTCGCCTATAACTCGTTTTATACGCAAATGGATGGAGATAGCAGCCATTGAAAGACTCCGAGGAGTACAGTATTTCAGAGTTTGCTCAGATCGGCTACCTACATATCGTGCCAAAATAGAATGGCCTTATCTATAGATCTGAAGTTCAACGTTTCTGCAGAGTGCGACACTGTTTTCAGAAGATTCGAGATGAGATCACCCAAAAAGCATTTCCAAATTAGGTCTTATAGTAAACGAACACTAGTTGAACGAGGCGAACAGAAACCCTTTTGGTTTGCTTACTTTCCAAGTGTCAACCATGCGTTAAAAGAAGGGGTATTTAGATGCCGCCGATGCTGAACTTTCAGCATCCATTTTCCATGATCTTCAATTGAACTAAAAAAGAACATGAGAAATCAATTCTTCATGCAGTGTTCATTGTATATGTGTGTACATCGGACGCCAAGGAAGACCTAATTTAAGAAGAAAAAACGACCGTTCGTTTTTTCGAGCTGTCCATAACAACGAACCCCTCACCGCAAAAGCTGTACTCGTTAACGGACAACATTAGGTATTGATCTGAAAGGCGATGTATGAACAAACAAACAGACAGTCTAATGTCGCTGTTGTTTTCGTTCACGATGATGATGATGATGTGTTTATAGATAATCCCTGCAAAGGTGGGAAATTTTGGATGGATGCAGTTCATTGATCCTAGAGTTAAATCCTTCATTTCATTTTGAAATATGGCGTACGGGAAAGCGTCTGCACTCAAGCTCAAAGATATTATTTATATTATATATTATTTATAATATAGCACAACATGTCGCTCTTAACTCTGCGTTGATCCCCTTGATGATAAAAATATGGTCGATAAACCACGGCTACAAAATGATAAATTTTGCTTTGAAACATTCAAGTTATACGCGACCTATGCCAACAAAAGATATTTCTGTATCTGCAAAATACTATCAAGTAGTTCAATATGTAAATTTTATTAATAATCCTTTTTCAAGTGCTAAAATAAACCTCTTTTAGCTCTTTTCAAATACAATTACCTCAAAGGTGTATACGTAAAGATTTACGTACCCTTGTACACATTTCTGTATGTGTTCTTCGCCTAAATTTTAGATAATAAATTTTAGAAGACAACTGGACTATGGGAGTTGTTGGGATTTTATTAGAGGTTTGAACGGTCATGCCTGCTAGAGTACCCTGAAGCCATCTGAGCGCGGAGTCGAAGGTCCTTTCTTGTTCTCGTTGTTATTGCTAACCTTCGGCGGAGTGTTATCGTTTGCACACTTTTCCATTTATTCGATGCGATGCGATGCAAACGTTATTAGCGTTCTTTGTCCATTGCTCAAATTTGCCGGCTGACTGGGCATGCCAACTACCTTACAGGCACCCTTGATCCGCTTTCTGTCGTTTTGCAAATGATCTGTGGGCGAGCAGATACGTTCTCGACGTCCAGAGAATTGTATTTCAGGCGGAGTTACGCCAACAACTTTCCTTCTCTTTCGCTTTTTTGAGTTTATGGAAAAGAGGCTCCAGTTATAATTAGAGCACAAGCCGTAGAAAGCACTTATATACCAACGACTTCTTTTATTAGGTTTGCTTTTTTCGTTGATTTCGTCAACCGATTTCACTTTGCAACTGTAGAAATTTCCTGCAAACCTAAGAGCAAATTCTCCCGCAAATTGAATCAAGTGCCTTTTTTAAGGCGCAGAAATCGAATGCACCAAGAGCTCCATGGTGATACCCGATTACCTGATATACCAAGCGGATGACCGCATGTCTAATGGCAGCACAATCGCAATAACAGACAAGCGAAACCTATCGTAGAGCACGCTGAAGAGATAGTTGCTAGTCTAAAGTGCCTAAAAGTCGTCATAATTTTACACAACATAGAAACTTCCTGCCTGCAAGCTAATTGTCCAATTAACGCTTACAAAGATCGCTGCTTAATTTGTGCGTTCTATTAATTAAACAACAACAAAAGCACCTATTGTTGTTACCAACCGTAATTCGAAAAGTTGATACAGGGCAGCGAGCGGTGTCCATTCTCAAAAAAAAAAATGACCGTTGTTTTTTAGGTACTATTTTTTACGGCGGGCAGCTTAAAACATGAACGTATCTACTAGGCCGTACAGCAGGCAATACGAAAAATACTATTAATTATCTCATTAGTTATTATCTCATAGTAGCCCAACGTAACGCTATTTTACGTTACGGATATCGTCACTTGAACCCTCAGTAGGACAGTTACGGTCAGACAAGAAATATCAGAATGGTCTTCAGGTGCGAGCTTCATCTTAAGACCGCAACGGCTCGCTGTATAAACCTTATTCTTACTAAATGATCTACTGCAAGAAGGATCGTGAACCGATGATTTTTCCGAAAATTTCTAGCAGGAAATTTTGAACTCCAGTGGAAGGTCCCCTATAAACGTATATGACGGGGACGATGTCGCGGAGGTCAACTTCTTACAAACTTCTTCAACAAACTAATGGCATCGAAAGACTACATTTGTTCACTTGGGTTGGTGCCGCATAACTGGAGTGATGATCGAAGACAGAGACGTAGACGAACGTGTCTCTCTTTGCACCTCCACGTCACAACAATGACCCGTTCACGTGTTAAGTGGCGACATTGACGAAAGATGGATATTCTACGGTAATCGCAGCTGTCAGACGATGGCAACAATGCAAAAGTTAGGATTAGAGGCTTTCTATTTTCCATCATACTTACAAAAGACTGTTTTTGTAGAGTACTGCTTTTCTCGAAATTTTAAGAAGTTTGCAGCAGAAACATGCTGTCACAATCGAATCTCGCGACTTATGTACTATCGTATCTTAAGCCTGAATAAAGGTGGAGAGACTGAGTTACCGTACGAGTGACAGCAAGTGATATATAGCGACGATGCAGGCATTGATCAACAATAACAACTATGTTTACG